TGGGAACTCCTATTTTTTCCTAATTTTTAACCCTGTGCTGTTTGTGAGAACCATTCATATTGCTATATAAGGTCTGCTTTCCCCTTAACTTGTTTAGGGCTCCATGGTACATTCCCATCATATTTTATTTCTCTACTCCCACAGATAGTAGGGTGTCTCTCAGATTGTCCCCAACTCTCTGCCAACACAGACAGTGCTGAAACGAACGTTCTTGACTGTGTCCCCTCACTGCGTGATGTTTCATTCAGGTGTTTGCAGGACTGAGGGTATGAGTTCCCTTCATTTGGTCACCAGGCACTGCTAGGAGGACTAAAGTCCACTCATCTTCACATCTGGGCCAACCCATCACAGAACCCAGCTTTCTGATTTTTGCTGCTCTGACAGGTGTAACTGACAGGTGGTGCCACGTTGCTGCCTTCACTCCCTGCTCGCCGGCTGCATTTCTTCTTCTGCCCCTCGCCTGAGCCCACCCTCTGCCCACTTCCTCTCCCAGTTCCAGTCTTTCCCCCCTCGGTCTGCAGACATTCCTTGTGGAGTCTACACATCGGTCTCCTCCTGGTGTTTTCCTGGTGTTATTGAGGTACACATAATAAACAAAAGCCTGCACATATTTAAGGTGTACATTTTCATGGGTCTGGAAATATACCTACATTTGTGATGCCATCACCACAATCAAGATAAGGAGTGTGTCCTCAGCTCCAAAGGTTTCTCATGTCCCTCTACTTTTTGTGTGGTAATAACACTTAACATAAGACCTACATCCTTAACAAGTTTTTTAGTTGAAATATATTTGTCATATAACCATGTAAATTTAAAGTGTACATCTTAATTTAGTACATTTGTATATTGTAATGTGATTATTATTGTAGTTGTAGGACCTTTGTCAGGTCACATAACTATCATTTCTTTTGTATGGTGGGAATAATTAAAATCTAGCCTCTTAGCAAGCCTGATGATTACAATATAACACCGTTGTCTATGTTCTTAACAGGCTTTTAAGTGTGCATTAACATTGTTAACTATGGGCCCTATAGTGTACATTAGATCTCCAGGACTTATTTAACTTTGCAAATATGTTCTTGCTCTCTGTCCTCTGTTAACATTGTCCGTGATGTTCTTTGTTAATATGATTTCTAATTTTTAATTTTTATTTTTAAATCTTACCCAAGGACATATTTATTGAATTTAGAGAGAAAGGAAGGAAGAGAGACACAGACATCAACATAAGAAACATCCATCAGTCGCCTCCTGTGCACCCCGAGCCCACAGCCTTTGGCGTGTGGGACCAAGACAGCCATTTGGCCAGGGCAAGATTGGTAATTTTGATGCAATGGAATTAATTTATTTATAGTTTGTGGCTTTTTCTTTTTAAAGAACTCATTTCCTGTTCTTAGATCACAAAGATCCCACTGCACTTTTTTTTATTAGCTGTATTTTCATCTTTCAATTAGGGTTATTAATCCATCTTGAACCTCGCTAATTAAAAGTCCAATTTTGTTTTTATATATAGAAAGAGATACTCTCCTCTACAGCATCTCTGGACAATTTGTCATTTTCTGATTTATCTGTGACGTGGCCTTAACCATATCTGAATGGCTTCATGTCTGAAGCGTCCACTGGTCTGCCTGTCCTTGCAATAACCTTACACCACTTTATTTCCAAGCTTCTGAGGAATTCTCAGACTCTCAGAAGGCAGTTTCCACCACCTCCTCCCACTCTTCATTTCAAGGTTGACTTAGTTATTCACGGCTGGTTATCTTTTCATAGAATTTTAGAATATGTTTACCATGGATTTTTTGAGAATATTACATTGACTGTAGAAATACTGTCTTTCCATTTCATCCACTTATTTATATCATCTGCCATGTTTTCTATTAATTAGAGGTTTCATTGTTCTCTGTGGAGGTCTTGTGTATACTTATTTAAATTAATTGTAGATACTTGATAGATTTTGTGCTACTTTGGATGGTACCTTGTTCTTTAAAACTTCTTTTTTAACTAATTTTAAACTTAAAAAATGTTACAAAACCAATACCAACAATTTTTGTGCCCCTCACTCAATGTCCTGAAACGTCAGCATCTGACAGAATGCCGATGCGCAGACCGGAACCGGGAAGTGAGCGCCGGCACAACCCGCACAGCCAGCTGCAGCTCCTGCTGGAGTCTGTCCAGTCTTCCCACCAGTATCCTTTTTCTGTTCCAGGGCACAATCCATTTCATGTAGTTGTTTCAGCTTTTCACTATCATTCTGTCCTTGGTCTTTCTCAGTTTTCTGTTTGGCCCAGAGTCTAGTGAGTAGTACGTTGCTCTGACACTGTCAAAAGGCTCAACCCAAGATTGTGCCCCACGTGCGCGGGAACGTCCAGTCTCCTCTTCTTACCGGTTCCCAGTCTCAGGGCTGCGTGGTCAGGCAGCCCGGGTCTTCGCAACAGTGGCACTTGGAAATTTACCTAGACTTCCTTTACAGCTGCACACAGGCCCTTTTTTGTGAAAGTCCCATGTTCTTACTGTTTTTTTTTTGTCTATTTGTTTTGGGGTTTTTTTTAGTGTACTTATTTGGTTTAGCAAATAGAATATGCATAGTTTCGTGTTTGTACATGTTAAATATACATGTATATATTAGCTATTTTTATTAATATATATTTATACTTAGCTCAGGTATTAAATAAAATGATGGAATTAAGTACAAAACAACAGTAATTACCAAGAAGATAAATGTATTAAATGAACCAGTTAAAAGAGAGATACAATCATAGATTACTACACTTTAAGAGGGTCCAGTTCTGACCAGTCCTGGCCATTCATGCCTGTCCTCAATCTTAATTTCCATTGTTTATTGCAGGTGCTGTGAAGGTGTCTTATATGTTTATTTTATTTAATCCTCATAACAACCTGGACTGCTAAGGGTTATCAAGACCAAGTTGAGGGTCCTCTTAAGGGATGAGAAAACTAAAGGTCAAAAAGATTTTGGAACCAACCCAATGTTGTTGCTGAAGCAGTGTTTTAAAACAAAAATTTTCTAAAGGAGGTGTTTTAAAAAAATTTTATTTTTGATTTTAAAGAAAGGGAAAGGGAGGGAGAAAGAGAGGGAAACATCAATGTGAGAGAGAAACAGCAATTGGCTGCCTCCCGTAATAAGTGCCTGAGGGGGGATAGAACCTGCAGCCCAGGCATGTGCCCTGACAGGGAATCCAACTGGCGACCTTTTAGTTTGCAGGACAATGCCCAGCTAACTGAGCCACACTGGCTGGGGCTCAACATTTTTTAACTCATGTGGATAACATGCAGAGTTTTGAGAGTTTGAGAGTTTGAGAGTTTTGTATGAGAAGAAAATAGCTACCACTTACTGCAGAAGCCGTGCAGGCGGCTCGGAGTTCAGGCATATTTAGGCACAGTGATCACAGGATCTGCATTATCCTTTCAAAGGCAAACTCTAACCAGCACCGGATTTTTCCAATTCAAAAAATGTTATTTAAGATCCCACTATATGGTGCAGCCACTATGGAAAACAGCATGGAGGTTCCTCAAAAATTAAAAGTGGAACTACTTTATGACCCAGTGATTCCACTTCTGGGTATATATCTTAAAAACTCCAAACACTAATTTGAAAGAATATATGCACTCTTATGTTCATTGCACTGTTATTTACAATAGCCAAGATTTGGAAGCAGCCCAAATGCCCATCAATAGATGAGTGGATAAAAAAGTTGTGGTACATAATATTATTCAACCATAAAAAAATGGGTGGACCTAGAGGGTGTTATGCTAAGTGAAATAAGTCTTTCAGAGAAAGACAAATACCATATGATTTCACTACATGTAGAATCTAAAGAATGATATAAACAAATGAACGAAACAGGAGCAGACTCACAGATGCAGAGAACAGACTGACAGGTGCCAGAGTGGAGAGGGCGCGGGGGGACTGGGTGAAGAAGGTGAGCGGATTGAGAAATGCAGTTGGTCGTTACAGAACAGTCATGGGGATGTAAAGCACAGCACAGAAAACAGTCCATAATATTGTGATAACTATGTGTGGTGCTAGGCAGGTGCTGGAAATATCAGGGGCCACTTTGTAAAGTACATGACTGTCAACCACTAAGGTGTACACCTGAAACTAATACAAAATAATATAAAATGCAATTGAAAATATAATTTTAAAAATAATTAATTAAAAAATAAAAGATCCCACCATAATAATTTTTTAAAAGACTGAATTGTTGCTTTCTTTTAAAATTTTCATTCCTATTCAGAAAAATAGCTGAAAGCAATGAAAAATTCTAAAGTGTGGACTCTGTAACTGCAGAACCAGCTCAAACCGGCCCTATCCTGTTTCTAACAAGACCCTGGGACCAAAGTTTAAACTTTGGATACACCACTCAGCATAACCCTTGTGAACCTCAGCTGCTCCCCCCACAGAGACAAACGACCGGACCCTGACCTGAACTTGTCCAGGGAGGACTCTTTCAGAGGCGAAGGGTCCGCTGTCCAGGAAGATCTGGTGCTGAAACCGCTTAAATCCTGCCCCCCACCCTGGATCCGGGAAACAGATTGGAGCCTTCCCTCCGGTCTCCTTGGCGGCTGAATGCACATGCAAAAGCTTTCTCTTCTCCTGAGCCCCTGACATAGTCCTGGTTCCTGTGCACGCTGGGCAGCAAACCCTTGCTCATCAACAACTCCACCCAGGTGTGGCTGAATAGAGACCCTGAGTTCCTACCACTGGGGTTTAAAAATAGTAGTAATAGTAATTATTATTATTTATTCATTGAATTCTTACTATGTGCCAGGACTTGTGGTAAGCATTTTAAATGCATGATCGTATTTAAATCTCAAGTGGCTCCATGAAGCACAGCCCATTATTATGAATGTCGTTTGCAGATAAACTCACCATGACTTGGAGAGGTGAAGGAGCTCCTCAGGGAAATCCTCCCAGGTCGAGCTCACTAGAGACCTCGGGTTTCTACCTGCTGAGGTCTTCCCTCTCTCCCATTCCAGGTGTGACCGCCATGCTGGGGCTAAACCACACCTTCGTGTCTGAATTCATCCTCATCGGCTTCTCTGCCTTCTCTCACCTTCAGCTGATGTTCTTCCTGCTGTTCCTGCTGATGTACCTGTTCACACTGCTGGGGAACCTGCTCATCATGGCCACCATCTGGGGCGAGCGCAGCCTCCACACACCCATGTACCTCTTCCTGTGCACCCTCTCTGTCTCCGAGATCCTCTACACCTTCACCATCATCCCACGCATGCTGGCCGACCTGCTCTCCACCCACCACTCCATTGCCCTCCAGGCCTGTGCCAGCCAGATGTTCTTCTCCTTCACGTTCGGCTTCACCCACTCCTTCCTGCTCACGGTCATGGGCTATGACCGCTACGTGGCCATCTGCCACCCCCTACGCTACAACGTGCTCATGAGTCCCCGTGGCTGTGCCTGCCTGGTGTCCTGGTCTTGGGTAGGTGGCTTGGTTATGGGGCTGGTGGTGACAATGGCCATTTTTCACCTCACCTTCTGTGGACCCAATGAGATCCACCATTTTTTTTGCCATGTGCCACCTCTTGTGAAGTTGGCCTGTGGTAATAATGTACCAGATGTGGCCAAGGGTGTGGGCCTGGTGTGCATCACAGCCCTGCTGGGCTGCTGTCTCCTCATCCTCCTCTCCTATGCCTCCATTGTGGCTGCCATCTTGAGGATCCCCTCTGCTGAGGGCCGCCACAGGGCCTTCTCCACGTGCACGTCCCACCTCACTGTGGTGGTCGTGCACTACGGCTTCACCTCTGTGATCTACCTCAAGTCCAAGGGTCCCCAGTCTCTGGAAGGAGACACCCTGATGGGCGTCACCTACACAGTCCTCACACCCTTCCTCAGCCCCATTATCTTCAGCCTTAGGAACAAGGAGCTGAAGAACACCATGAAAAAGAACTTCCTCAGCAAGCCCTTTCTGCTGAGCTCCTGAAGTGGCTGGTTTCACAGCAGGGATGTGGTGGGTGAAGACATTCCAGTCTTCCATCTATAAAATGTGTAGAATTATGCTCCACTGGTGATGACTCCTGTATGCAAACTCCCCTACGTGCACCCTTGGCAAGTGCTCTGTAAGCTCCCTCCTTTCTCCCAGTCTGTCTGACCTCATTTCTCCTGGATTCACTGGGTCATGACCTCCCCAATATTGATCTTGTGTGACATATTCCTGTTTCCTGTGCCTGAGAGTGGCCTGGAGGAAGGGATGCCCACATCATGGTATTGGAAGACTTATGTTCATGGCTTATCTTGAATTAGTGAGTGAGGGATGCTTGCTCTGCCCAAAAAGACAGGGACATAAACAGTGACAGTGATTTGGTGCCTCCTGTGTACCAAGTATCATGTTCTGTGCTTCAGACACATCATTCCCTCTCATTCTGACTATTGTCTTGAGAAAAGGAAAGCGTTTTTATAGTGAAATGATTTCTTATTTTAGTTCTTCACATTTTTGCAGGAAGGGTGTTTCCTCCTAGGAGTGGCCTCTGTTGACTGAGCTGTATAACAGGTCTCTGGGTGCAAAGCACAAAGAGAAAGGGGGGACCTGAATGTCTCCTTGGGAGAAAAGACATGTGTAGAGAGATGAGCTGAGAGCATGGGAGAAGAGTGAGAAAGTGGTAGCTGAGTTAAGGGGAAGGGAAGGGACAGGAAGAAAAACACAATTCCTGGCAATGGACCCAGACCCAGTGCTGGTGAAGACATGGGAGGAAAAAGCAGGGACATGAATGAGCAGTTTATAAGGTTGCCCATAGAGTGTCTGATACAAATCTCCTTCCCCAACTCCCTTGAAATCCTCAATAAAATGTCATTTCTCTTTCATGCGTTGGGAGTCACGTATGTTGGGCAGATGCACCTGCAGGCTGGGCCCTGCCTCAAGGGAGGTGCTCAGGCAGGTCAGGCAGCCCCTGTGGTCACACCCCATTTAAAAATGAGGAGAATAACACAGTGAGGTTTGGGACTTTCCCAGGGTCATGGAACCAGTGAGGAGCGGGGATGCAGTATGAAATTGGCCAGGTGAGTCCTCTTTGGCAACAAGTCTCTAACTTGAGGGCACATCAGAGTCACCAGAGGGGCTGGTTAAGTCACAGTCTGCTGGATCTCACCCAGAGTGTCCAATTCAGTAGGTCTGGGAGGGGCTCTAGAATCTGATACTCTAGCACAGATGCTGCTGGCGGTGGCCTGGGGATGACACATTGGGAACACTGCTCTACAGAATCTATAGCTCAAAATAAAGCTGGATATTCAGATTGGAGACAGAAGTAACTCCCTTCCTTCCTTCTTCCATCCTTCCCTCCTTCCTTCCTTCCTTCCTTCCTTATTAATAGTTATGATGATAACAGCTTCTGTTTTTTTTGAGCATTTATCATCAGCTAAGTATGGTCTTTTTAAAATAACATTACTAAGCTATAATTCACATACTATATAATCCACCCACTTAAAAAGGTATGTAATCACCACCACAGTCAACTTAGAACATTTTCATTACCTCCAAAAGAAGCCCTATAACCTTTAGCTATTATCCCTCTTTCCCCCTTTCCTTCGGCCCTAAGCAACCACTAATCTACTGTCTCTACAGATTTGCATTTTCTGGACATTTTGTGTAAATGAAATCACATATTTAACCCCTTCATGTCTGGCTTCTTTTACTTAACATAATGTTTTTGAGGTCTATCCATGTTGTAGCCTGTATCAGTTCTCTCATTCCTTGTTATGGCCGAGTAATATTCCATTGTTTAGAGTTACTGTATTTTTGTTTATTTACTCACCTGTTGGTAGAGATTAGGATTATTTCCACCTTTAGCTATCATGAGTGTTGCTACTATAAACATTCTAGTCTTTGCCTGGACACATGTTTTCATTTTGGGGCACATTCCTATCCCCCAGTGGGGTTAATGAGTCCTGGGTAGCTCTGTGTTTGATCACTTGAGGAACTGCCGACGGTTTTCCACAGCAGCTGCACCGCTTCACGTCCCGACCGGCAGCGCGCAGGCGCTCCATGTTTTCCATTCTCCCAGCACTCACTTATCTCACTTTGTGATTACAGCTACTCTAGTAGTTCCTTATTGTGGTTCTGGTTTGCATTCCCTGATGACTAACGATAGTTATGGTCTTAAATGCTTAGCATGTGTCAGTTCTTTTATTTCACAAGGAAGATCAAATTATTAGTTCCATTCCTGAAGATGAGAAAACTGGCATATAAGGAGATGAAGTCTGTTAGCTAAAGGTCTTACCCTTGAAGTGAAAAAACTAGAATTCTTTCAGTCAGAACTGGGGCTCAGAAGCTCACCCAGGGGAGGCCTGTCTGCTCCAAGAAGGGATAAAGACCTGGACGGGAAAGAAGAGACCAATATTAGCCAGCAGTAGTGAAATGAGCCCAGAACTAGAAACATGCCGCTCTCAGGGGGTTAGAAAGAAACAGCCACTGGGAGAGAACTGGGGAGACATGTTATAAGTCCAACAAAACTGGCTGTAGAGTCTCCAGCTGCAGACACATTAACACAGAAAAGATTGTCATGTTTAAACATGAAGTTTTTTGACCTAAAGAAAATTGTGACTCCTTTTAAAGCCAGGTTCCTGGGCTATGTTGAGAAGATCTAACGTTGTTAATGAGAAAGATCTGGGGACATTTTTTGCCTCCCCTATAGACTGTGAAGAGTACAGATGGCAAGACTGTGCTCTTGGAGTTGTCATGTATAAGGCATATTTTAAAATTTTTTAGAATTGATTCTTAGAGAGAGGAAGGAAGAGAGAGAGAAAAACATCGATTTCTCTTTCCATTTATTTAGGCATTCATTGGTTGATTCTTTTTTAAAAATATGTTTATTGATTTTAGGGAGACAGAGAGAAACATCAGTGTGAGAAACATTGATTAGCTGCCTCCCATATGCACCCCAACAAGAAATTGAACCCACACCCTAGGTTGTGTCCTGACCAGGAATTGAATCCCCAGCCTTTTGGTGTGCAGCGTGACCAATGGAGCCACACTGGCCAGGGTCATTGGTGGATTCTCATATGTGCCCTGACAGGGGACTGAACCCACAACCTTGGTGTTGGGATGATGCTCTAACCAACTGCAGGACCGATATGAAGATGTTTAAGTAGCCAGCCATCTGAAGGATGGCCCCTCGCTTAGAGCCTTAGGCTGTAGTACAAACCTAGTGTGGTCTAGTCAGTGCTTCATTTGCAACTCGATCCCCCAGCCCTCCCAGATCTTCAGCACCATTAGCTCCCTGGCTGTTCCTGCAATAAACCAAGCACACTCTGACCTCAGGAATTTTGTACTTGCTTCTCTTCTGCCTGGAACTCCCTTTCCTTACTCCTACACTTCCTTAGGTCCGACCTTAGATGGCACCTCCTCAGGAAAGCCTCCCCCAACTCCCAGGGCTGTTTAGCTGATCAGGGATCTGGAGACATCTTGAAATATACTGATTGTCCTGAAAAATGGGGAAGAACCAGATTGTGAATGTGAAAGAACCAACAGCAAAGCTGACTCTGGGTTATATCTGGGAGGCGTCAGGGTGGTTCCCTACAGTCACCAGTGAACAAACAGGCTTGTTGTAGTTTGGTTGACTGATGCCAGTGCATTCTGGGCTTTAAATAAACCTTAATCGTGCTCCTATACATCAGTTTGTATTCATTGTTTTGTAAATTTAAAACAACCTAAGAAGTTGAACTTAGTGAACAGCTGTCAGGGCAAGATGGGTGAGGCAGGCTGAGAAAGCACAGTGCTGTACCCTGTCTTTATTTAACATTGACATGTTGTTTACCATGAAATTTTTGCATTAATTTTGATTTTTCAAAATATTGCATTAGATGTGATTTCTCTTGGTCACTTACCTGAAATTTGGTAGTCAAGTTGCGTGCCTCCCTTACCTGACCCCAGATTCCTCCATCCCCTCCAAAAAACCCTTGCATTTCTTTTCTCTCAAAAGACCAAAAATAGAAGCCATCTTTAACTTCTGGTGATGAAAAATAGGGATAAATGCCAAAAGGTAAACAACCAGGGTTTTGGGGTGCTGACCCTCCACACCACAGCCCAGGCCCTCTGCCCACTGGTGTCAGCCAGGACTCCCAACCTCCAGAGACCTATCCTCCCTTCCCCTCTGTTACTTAGCTTCCACTTTCTGAAGTCTCCCCATGCCTGCATTCCTAGCTGTTTGTCATTCCTGGCTAATGGTCCCCTCTGTGCCGCACCCTTTGGCGTCCCAAGGCAGGGCCAGAGCCCAGAGAAGTGATTCAAAGGCCTGGAGAACAGAGAATGGCTGTTGATGAGATCACCTGGCTGTAGGGGGCCGCTTCCTGTACTGACTGGAACCCCGCTCAGTGTTTTGATGCTAATTGTTGGAGGCAAAGGCCAGTCTGAGACATGCAATTTGCTGCCTTCACTGCCCTTGCTCCCCTTTTCTGAAATGTTGACCCCACGCCTTTGCTTGTGGGTGAAAGTCGGGTCCCCTCCTCAAAGATGTTTCCTTTCTCTTCCCTCTGCCCTCCACTTGGCTGTCTCTGTCCAGCAGTCAGACAGATCTTCATGAAGGGAAAATATAAAAGATCACCCCTCTGCTTATAGCCTTAAGCTACAGTACAAACCCAGTGTGGTCAGGTCTGTGCTTTATCCCCAACTGCATTCCTCACCCTCCCCAGCATTCCAGTTCCCTGGCTGTTTCTGCAGTGAATCAAGCATGCTTGGACCTCAGGAACTTTGTATGTGCTGCTGCTTCTACCTGAAATACATACTCCTACACAACTTTAGGTTTGATCTTAAATGTCACCTCTTCAAGAAAGCCTTCTCTGATTCCCACACTGAGTCACCACCTCTATTTATAGCTCTAATTGCAAACCCTTTCTTTTCCTCAAAGCTTTTATGACAATTTATCTCATATTCATTAGTGTGATTATTTGTTTAATATCCACATCTTCCCCTCTCAAATGCAAGTACTGAGA